GCATCACATTAGCTTGTCCTAATTTTCTTACCAGTGTATCAGCTTTAAGAATTACTCGTTCCTTTAACTGAATGGTAGAGAAAGCTAGCACTTCCATACCTTTCTGGAGTTCTTATTTGGAAAAGGTTTTTGGTTCTTAGTTTGGGTGCTGTCAGTGACTTCTTTTTTCTTAAGCATAATACTAGTTTTCTTCTTCAGTTTTAACCTTAACAGCATTGTAGTGATGGTGATTTCTTTGCTAATATGGTGGTGGATGCTGCACTAGCTGTTAAATACACAGACCAGAAGGGTCAGGCTCGGTATCCAATCAACTCAGTTAATGTTTTGAAGGCACATGGCCGCAGCCAAAAAGAGAGCATACTTGTGAACGGTTACGCTCTGAACTGCGTGGTGGGCTCGCAGGGTAAGAACACGCTATGTTTCACAAAGCTTTTGTATGAACTCGGTCCTCTTAGTCTTTCTGCATGGATCTTTTTACTTACTGCGTCAGTTGCAAAGCCTGCGGGTTTTGGATTCCAGAACAATTAAACAAGAATGCAGAAAAAACCTTACCACTTCACTGTGGTTTCTAGGTTAGGGTCTGCCAGCTAGTAGTGATCCACAAAGTGTTACTGTAGGTTCCCTAGTTCAGCATCAGCATGGTAACACTGTGATCTGGAACGTGAGCACCTCCCACATGAGGAGCCAATGTTGGGTTTATAGGGAACTGTTAGGTTTAGCAGAATGGTGTTGTGGTTAGGTAACCTGAAGGACGCAAGACTGGTAGGTCAGCTTTGTGTAATCATTCACGTTTTTGGGATGGGGCCTGTAAAAAGGTAACAGGGATTGTAGCTGAGGGGTGTTTTGTTTTTTTAAAAAAAAAAAAAAAAACACAAAAAAAACACCCTCTTTTTGAAAGTCTTTGTTAGTATTTTTCTGTAGTACGGCAGAACTGCAGGTGGAGAAGCAAACTGAATAGAAATCTGAAATGTGAAAGTAGCATTAGTTTTAATCTGTAATGCTATCTTGATGTTCTGTTAACTCAATTTGACAAAATTCTTTTTCGTGTTCTCTCTTGTCAGGTATGACCAAGAGAATAGTTAATGCAAAGATTGCATGCCTTGACTTCAGCCTGCAGAAAGCAAAAATGAAGCTTGGTGTTCAGGTTGTTATCTCGGACCCTGAGAAGCTGGACCAGATAAGGCAGAGGTGTGTGGAAGCTTGAGTGAGGCAGTGGGGTTTCACAGGCTTGTTTTGGTCTCTTCAGTTGAGGTAGCTTGAGGTAATTTTAGCTGAGTGCAAGAGGTAGAAATGTTTTAAATGTTAGCATTTCTCAATGATACCAAGTACTAAAGGTAAAAGTCTTCACTTCTGGAGGTAGAACTAGTATTAAGTCAGTTTGTGAGAAATCCAAGTATGTTTGTGCAATGGTTCCTTCTCCTTAGAGAGCTCTGCATTAAGATTTTGGGAAATGGGTTGACAAAATGTGATTGCAGACTTTTAAATACATTTTTATAACTTTGACTTTATATTTGTAGAGAATCAGATATTACCAAAGAAAGGATCCAGAAGATTTTGGCCACTGGTGCCAATGTTATTCTCACCACTGGAGGCATTGATGATATGTGTCTGAAATACTTTGTTGATGCTGGTGCTATGGCAGTACGAAGAGTTGTAAAAAAGGACCTTAAGCGGATTGCTAAGGCATCCGGAGGTATCTGTCCTTTTTTTTTTTTTTTTTAAGTAAAACCTGCTGTTGTTAGGGTATTAGTGACTAAGTTTCAAAACATGGCTTCTTAACATGCAAGTCATGCAAGGAGAGGATCAGTAGAGCCGAGTATCTCTTGTCAGGTTTTAACTTTACTGTTGCTTTAAAGTGGTCATTCTGTCAAAGTAGGTGAGTACTGTAAGAGTTAACTGCTGAAGATTTACAGTTGGGAAAAGAAATGCTGCTTTGCACTGGAAAGTCTGTCCTTTTGTGGAAATGGGAGCCAGAATCTATTTATTTAGAAGTCTTTATTAAGCACACTTTCATAAGCCTCTGTTTGGAGATTTGCGTTAAGTACCTTTGTTAGATAGTTCAAGACAAATGAACAAGTCCTCAATCATTAAATATATACTGAAAAAAAAATCTGGTCCTATACAGATTTTTATCTGTCAATTTTTAAATTTGCAAGAAAGCATTTTCATTATGCTAAAGCACAGGAACTTAGTATGTACTAGCTGTGGAAAAGTAAGTGCTGTAAAAGTTGATCAAAAAGAGCAGTATTGATTATAAACTGTGGAATATCGAATTGCTACCTGAGAATTAGAAGTTCTGTTGAATTTAAGGAAAAACTACTTATGCTGCTCTTATTTCCGTTTTCAATTTGTTTTTCTTTCTGTATGCCTGTTCTGGGAAGTTGGCAAAGGATGTGCTGGAGTTGACTGCTAATATCACTTTTTTGTTTGTTTGTTAAAGCAACCATATGTTCAACCCTTGCAAACCTTGAAGGTGAGGAGAGTTTTGAGGCATTAATGCTGGGACAGGCAGAAGAGGTGATTCAAGAGAGAATCTGTGATGATGAGCTGATTTTAATCAAGAAGTAAGGATCCTTTTTAAAAATACTCAGCTTTCTGTACACTTTCTACGAAGTCTGAGATAAAATTGCATTTATTTACTTCCATACTACCTCAGTGGTATGAGTAGTTACACGCATGGGAAAGAGGATACAAGTCCACTGCAAATTAGAGGTGAAAGTATCAGTATTTAATCTCTTGCTGGGGCTGGACCCATGTTTCATTAGCCCTAATGTATAAAACAATCAGATTGCTAGATAGACTTTACTTAAAATTTTGTTTATAAAGAATTTTTTCTAAAATTCTTTTAAATTGCGAGTAGAGATATTATTAGAGCATTCATATTCCATTACCTGGCTTTTAGTAGTGTAGTCTCACTGGCCTCCCTTTACAGACAGTTAAAGTGAAGGTACCTTCTGAGTAATGTCATCTCAATAAGGAGGTGCAAGTGCTGGTGTCACTGATTCAGCCATCTGTTTGGTAGGATGAATTGGACCACATTGTTGAAAGGGTATCCTTTTGTTGTTGTTGTTGTTTTTTTAATGGGTAAAAAGAGCAACAGTTACTAACTGTCCACACACATGGTATTTTCCCTTGAAGATGCCACTGCTGTCTGGTAGCTGAAGACTTGAGTATCGGTTTGTTTAACATGAGCATATCTTGGATATTAACTGTAGTGCTGTTTCAGTATCCCTTCTCAGTGTTCAACTTCCTGTAGCCTCATTTGTATGTGGATGAAATATTCTGACCGTGGCACTTGTGGCAGTTACGTGACTGCTTATACTGTAATGTTGGCAGTCATTAGCTCACTTGATAGCTATACAAAAGAGAACTTTATTAATACCTAATTACATTTTCCCCTTATTTGATGGCAAAACATCTTGTCTTTCATACTTTTGTCAGGTAGCTTTCTCTTAAGAGACTAAATTCAAACTAGTTTCTTGCATGTTAGAATTTAAATCTTGACTTACTTGATTTGCCGTGTTACAGTGTACAAATCCTGCAACAGTGCATAATAATGTTGATTTTCTTTGACACGTGGAAAGAATCTGGCACAACTGAACTTGGCTTTAGAAGAAAAAATTCAGCAAGAGAATAGTTTTAATCTGTATTTTGTTCAACACAGCTGACTTGTGATTCCTTTTCTCCCCTAGTACAAAGGCTCGTACTTCAGCATCAATAATCTTAAGAGGAGCTAATGACTTCATGTGCGATGAAATGGAACGATCTATACATGATGCTCTCTGTGTTGTGAAGAGGGTGTTGGAATCCAAGTCTGTTGTCCCGGGTGGGGGTGCTGTAGAGGCAGCACTTTCAATATATCTTGAAAATTATGCAACCAGCATGGTAAGTCTTGCATGAAGAAGTAAGAGTGTGTATGTGTTGGACTAGGACAATGTGAATTTCCAAGCATTTATTTTCTTCTAACTAGAAGTTGGTTCCATCGTTCATGAAAACCTAATCATCTTACAGAATGTAAGATGCTGCTTTAAAATGGAGGATAGAAGTTACTCTTTCTCTGATAATTAGTCTATATGGTTCTTTGGCCTAACAATAGGTTTTGCATGTGAAAAACCTATTTTGACACTCTAGATCATGGCTGTATTTTTTCTTCTTTTGTTGCAGCAGTTGGTTTAAAAACTTTTTGCTTTTTCTAGGGATCACGCGAACAACTTGCAATAGCAGAATTTGCAAGATCCCTCTTAATAATTCCAAATACACTGGCAGTAAATGCCGCTCAAGATGCGACAGATCTCGTTGCGAAGTTGAGAGCGTTCCACAATGAGGCTCAAGTTAACCCAGATCGCAAAAATCTGAAATGGCAAGTATCCATTTGTAGGAAGGCTATTAAAAGTGAAGTGGATTGGTGACTTAAGATGGAAAATTGTTCTGCCAGGTTACTGAACTGTGATGTGCATGTAAAAAAAGGGTGTAGGTTATCACTGAACTTTTCTCCCTCTGTCCTTCAGTCCTACGTATGTGTCACTGGGACCTAGTAGCAAACAGCATACTCTCAACTATATTTCTGCTTCTCCTACCTTTCCACATGACAATATTTCTTCTTTTCAGGATTGGTCTTGACTTGATCAATGGAAAACCTCGTGATAACAAGCAAGCCGGTGTCTTTGAACCAACCATGGTCAAAACTAAGAGCCTAAAGTTTGCAACAGAAGCTGCAATTACTATTCTTCGAATTGATGATCTTATTAAACTGCACCCTGAAACTAAAGAAGAGAGAGGGTGCTATGAGGATGCAGTTCACTCTGGAGCACTTGAAGAATAACTTAGCTTTTATTTATGTTTGTCTAACTTACACTTCTCACTCTTGTAACTAAAGTGTTAATAAAACAAGTGGTTAAACGCTGCTGCTATTTTCTTGTGAACAAATTAATTTGTGAAAGTGAGGTTGGTCCTTGCATTGAGAACTTAAGCTCTAGTGCGTGTTAACACCTAGAATCTAGTAAGCTTATTTAATATTAGGCAAAACCAGCAAACATAAGCTCCGTGATTAGCAGTTTATTAGTGAGCTGTAAGCTAGTTAGCACTAGCTGTTCATTCATCCACATTCATCTCTCAACGCACATGGCTATTCCCATTCCCCCTCCTATACAGAGAGCAGCAATGCCACGTTTTCCACCTGTTCGTTCCAGTGCATGTAGAAGAGTAACAAGGATGCGACAACCAGAGGCGCCAAGAGGGTGGCCAAGAGCAATAGCTCCACCTTGGATATTAATCTAAAAAAGAAAGAAAAATACAGAAGGTGAAGTTAAGAAATCATTTAACTAGCTTAGTTGAGTTTTAACATGAATGACTTCACTGGATATAGTCCTTGATTGTGAATAAGCCTGAAACCGCAACTGCCATTTATTTCAAGGAGAAACTGAACATGGCTGCAACAGCTATTAAAATTAGTATCTTATGAAAGGGGCATATCTTTACTCCAAAGATAAAAGTAAGGTGATAATTGAGGTGAATTCAGGGAGGGGAGAGTAATACCTGCACTTTTAGCCATCACTGGAAGAATACACTGGCAAATACGCTTTGAGCAGCAAGTTCAGATTCTGAAGTTAATTACAAGTGGGCTCAAGCAGTTACTTGGAGTTGTGCACAAATCTGCTGTGACAAAGCTGCAGCCTGTTGGGCTGGGAAGCGGCGTGCCCACTGGCCACGTACAGCTGCAGGAGAGTGGCATAAGGGAATGCCTAACAGGGTTCCTGTCCTTTTTGCTTACAGCAAAGTGATTGCAAAAGGACTGCTCTCACCTCTTCGGCATACAATCCAGATGCACAGAATGGAACAAATTTGAATTACAATTAGGCAAACTAATTATGGCCTCAAATATACAAATTACCTTTTCTGGGTTTACTTTCAGTTCTTTGGCTATTGCAACAGATAACGATGCAAAGGCTTCGTTAATTTCAAACAGGTCAACTTGTTCCAGAGTCCAGCTGGCTTTCTCAATCTGAGAAAATAATATAAATAGAGGCTTTATTATCTTTTAGGTTTTCCTCAGCACCAGAGGAAGCTTTTTATAAGACAAATCAGTTGATTTGAAGCCACCGCTTCTAAGAAGTTGAAGGAAACAGATTATAGCCAGTGTCAATGACAGAATTCTTGAAGACAACAGTCAAAATTTCACTGTCAGCAAAAGTCAGTACAATGTGCTGTAATATGTTGGCTGCTCTTTAAAAATCTTGACTAATTTTACACATGTAGTGGTGGTGGTCCCCTTAATAGAATCAGCACTGTTTCTAAAAGCATATTTTAACAGATTAAAAGCAAGTTTTCCAGGACGTAAGCCTGCTTCCATATGAGATTCTCTGCTTAATACAGATTTTTACACAGACAATAGTGAAGTGACCATTAGTGATGGGCGTCAAGTGTAATGTGTCCAGTCTCTCCTGCCTTGAAGTTGAAAGTTGCCCCTTGAAGCTTCTCACAGGGGACTGTGTTGGAAGATGGTTTGGTTCCCGTTTTCACTTGAGAAACCCTTGTTGTGCAATTGCCTCCTTGGGTACAGGCTTAGGCGTGTTTCACATATTTACATTTCTACTTTCACTTGCTCTAACAGCAGTGCCTCATCAGCAGAATCACCTGCAGCAATGATGTTTCACAACCAGCTAGCCAGACTGGTGCATCTCCAAGACTATCGACGAGGACAGCCTCTTTCTGTTAGGTATTACAGAGAGTATGGAAACCCTTCACATTCTGGGAAAAGTCTTATCTTTTAAAGATTTACTATGTTGTTGCAACATTAAAATGGATGATGTAATCATTCTCTTGCTATAAAGTGCAACTATGAAATTTTGAAGAGATAATTTCATGAAGGGTGTGAAGTGTTTGATAACATACATTACAAAGTTTACATTAAGTAAGTAGTGTGTGCCTTTTCAGAGTACCTATAAAACTATAGGTACTGTTAAATACAGCTTGTCTGTTCTACAATTTAAACTAAAAATGTGTATTGTATATACATTTATAGCATTCTTGATCTAAAAGAACAGTTTGAGATCTGATAAGAAAAAGCTTCAGCATTACAGTTCTGATTTTCCCGTTAAAAGCCACGGAGCTTGGGTGAGTTCAAGTCAGGCTGCTGCATTGCCAGGACATTTCAGAGATGAACAAAATAAGGCCTTCACACAGTATAAACAAAACTAAGGAGGAATACTAAAGCAAATCTGTTTTTACCAGCTGTACAAGAGCTTCTTCCACGCTCAGTTTTAGCAAATAATCAGCTGGGGTTGCCATGGGCTATGTCTATATTAGCAAGCAGCATAGTACACGGGAGCTGCTCACTCGGGGCATTTTATCTGAGAATCTTGTCCCATGGACTGAACACAGAGCACATCAGTGTGTGCAGTAACCGTCAGAGCATATTAGATGCGGTTCTGAAGCGCACCTTCTTGTTTAGTTTCATCTGAAAGTAATCCAATTTGCATGCTCCAACCCTTTTGCAGGGCAAACCAAAACACAAAGGGCACGGTAACATTTCCTAATGCAGATGCGCTCACCGGCCCTTCTCTCAGTGCTATACTACTGCAAACACAACCAGGCAGTAATCTGAAAATTAACCTGGCCAGACACAGCATCAGAACCATGTCATGGCAGGACCAAATCATCCCCAAATTAGCTTAGTATACGCATCCATGAAATTTGATCTTTAGCTTCCTAGGTTATCTAAGTGGCCTTTCACAAACCTGACTACTTTATGTTCTGAACTCCATTCATACACCTACACATTTATTTATTTTTTTCCAAACGAGCAGGCAGTAACCTGGTAGTACTAGAATCTTAATCTTATATACTGTCTGCTATTTTAAGTCTTGTTTTCACTTAGTTTATTTTTTCTACTAAGTTTTCCTTAGAACATAGAAAAACCAAGGCATGGCCAGAAAATGAAAAGTGATTACAAGCAAGAGTTTTTAAATAACAGATACATTGATAGATAAATAATTACTTACAGCTTGCTTTATTGCTGAAATGGGCCCTACTCCCATTATAGATGGGTCTATACCTGTCTGAGCCCAAGATACAATCCGAGCCAGAGGCATAAGACCTCTCCTAGCAGCTTCCGATTTCTTCATTAGAATTACAGCTGCAGCTCCATCATTTATACCTGTGGAATGACAAATAACTTTTATGTATTTGTTGGGTTTTATGGCTTTCACTGTACCACCTTTTCCTGCTTGCATAGGTTCACCATCTAGACAAAACAAAAATCGCAAATGTTTTATTGGTTTAGGTCAGTATTGTTCAGATCAGCCAAGTCTGACCTCTGACACAAACACTTAAAACAGGTAACACATCTATACTGCTCTAAGTGTGCCACCTTTGTGATTTCTATTCGAAAAGCAGCAGGTGGAAGAGTTGAAACACAATCTGAGAAAGAAGCACATCAGATTTATTAAGCAGACTTTGGAAGAGGCAGCATAAGGACCCAAGGAAGAAGTTTCAAAGCTGCCTGTAGCAGGAGAATCAGTCCCGCAGGAGTAACATTTTCGAACCTGAATTACGAAGTTTTCCTTTGTCCAGACCTGCACTATTAGAAACCGCTACACAGCTAGTTCTAAAAAGAGAGGATGTAGTTTCTCTGTTCCAGCCTATCAAATATTGCTGTTATTGTCCAAACAATTGCCTTGCTTCATAGACAGCAAGCAAACAAAAGACAACTCATCTGTAAAGAAATCCTCCACCGCAGTTATATTCCAGTTCTACCTATGCTGTCAAACACATTGCCATTTTCCGCTAAATGTATTCAGTGGTAACCACCTGGCACCCGACCCCTCGCAGAGACTCTGCCTTGAGCCACATGCAGCGACTCTTCTTTTCCATTTTGGTTTTCGCCAGGCGGACCAACCTGAAGCATTAGCTGCTGTTACTGTCCCAGTTCCGTCTGTCAGGAAACAGGGCTTTAACTTTGCCATTGTTTCCAAGTTGCTCCCATGTCGAGGATGTTCATCTGTTTTAACTTCTATAGGACCTGCAAAACACAGCGCTAAGACTCACAGTAGGTTCTAATTGCGTGCGCTTGTCTTGAACAGAAATCTGGCACAAGCAACAGGCTGATCGGGAATATATGTCACGTTCCTTTTAACCAACAAGCCATTCTGTTGGAGACAGCTTCCAACTCTGTGCAATTTGTTAAAAGATCCTTCCAGCTGCTTCTAGCAGGACAGACAGCTGGGTTTTCCGAGACAAACACTAACAACTACAATACTGTCTAGTTGTACAAAAGCAGGTCTTGTTCTTGCTGTTCATCTTCTTGCAAAAAGTAGTCAAGTGTCATTAAATATTATTATCTAAACCAGTATCAGGAAAGCCTTTCATTAATTTGTAACCGGCCTAATGCTAGAACTTTTCCCACGGGGTCTATTCAATACAAATGTTGAACAACTGATTCTTGATTTCTGTTTGGAAAATTCAGGTTTTGCGCCCACGTCACAAAGAGCTGAGGGAATTCCCTTGCTCTAGAAACAGACCTTTGGCTCAAGCACCATAATACGTCTGTTTATATCCCTAACAGACCCTAAGAGAAACACACATAATATATGTCCACCTGACCCCATTAATTAACTAGTAACCCTAATTTTCGTCACTATTGTTACTAGGTGGGCAAGGTTTGCCAGATCAACGTGAGTCTTAAGTTTGGTGCAGCAGGAGTCTAATGAAAGGAAAATACTGATTTTGGTACCATACCCAAGCCTATGTTAAGTGAGCTGTTTGCTTGGGTAGTAATTACATACCCAATAAAACAGTAGCATCTGCAGAGAGCTACATTTAGATATTCCACATTTGCATTGTTTCTCTCTTATTGGAAAAAATAACCACTGGAATTTGAAAAAAGAGAGCAACAGGCTACATGCTTACAGAACAGCTTACACAGAAGCCTGTATAACTGGGAAACCATCCACTGATCATAGCAGACATAGTAAAAAACAGATTTTTCTTTAAAAGCAGCTCTCACTATCTATTCACACCTACCTTTTTTAGAAGGTACAAGAACAGGAACAATTTCTTTCGTAAAATAGCCAGCTTTCTGTGCTGCCTCTGCCCTGTTTTGTGACTGTACAGCAAGTTGGTCTTGTTCCCCTCTGCTGACCTGCCACTGATTGGCCACATTTTCAGCTGAAATAGGAACAAAATGCAAATTGCCATCAGGAAATGCTTAATTCAAAGTTGTAAAATTGCAAACACAAAGGTAGTCACTCAAGTTTGTTGTAGCAAGCAGCTAAGCTTTTTGAACAGTTTTCATTCTGATTTGCTCGTTTTGTTTGCTCATGATTCTCTATTCGCTTTTGAGGGTGAAAATTTCCGTGCAGGATCTCCTCCCAGATGGTATATCAAGTTAAATACAAACGCAAGCAAGATTTTCTAGTTTATTGCTTTTCTGGATTATTATGCTCAGATCTCTGTACAGCTGCTTCAGCGGAGAGAACAGTTCTGAAGTTAGTGGGTTGCATAAGCAGAGTCTGAAAATGCAGTTGGCTCACTATCCTATCCAGGACACAATAACCTGAAGTTGCAGAACCACATGTATCCACAGTACGTTTCATGTAATTCCCCCACACACACTGTAAGTCTGTGCTGCTGAATGCTCTGGTTACATACAGGGATTATTTTGTTTATTTTTCCTGAAATTAAATTAAATCGCTCAGATGCCAAAGAGATGCAGTGAGATTAGCTCAGACAGGGAAAAAAAAAAAAAAAAAAAAACCAAAACAAAACAGTAGCTTTACAAACAAAGCAGAAAATGCCTTAAATGCCTTTCAATATTAGGGATTTCTTTCTTTTTCACAACTACAACTTAAGGACAGCTTGAAACACCTTACTTCAAGCTTCAGATTTCTGAAATTTCCCATAAGTGAATCCTTCCCCCCTTCTCAGTGAACTATTTCATTTTCTGGACTGTCATCCACTTACCTGTTATACCCATATGATACTGATAAAAAGCATCTGTAAGTCCATCAAGGATTATAGTGTCCTGCAAGGAAGCCTCTCCCATTTTCACCCCAGCTCGCATGTGAATGACATGAGGAGCCTGCAAAAAGGCATTCTGAAATAAGTTACTTGTTTCGTATTTCTAGTGCACAACACAGCCAGACAGCTGAAGAGGCAGCCTTGCAGCTGCAGGTAGCTACCCCAAATCTCAGCAGTCTCCCCAGCTGCCTGCTCCATCTCCCTCTGGAGTCTGCCAGCTGGCATGCTCTGCTTGCCCTCTGCATTTCCCCGGCAGCAGATCCCCAAGGAGCTAGCGTTTTGTCTCCACAGATCGAACCAATCGTCCCTGGGGACACATGGCCGCAAGTCCCCCATCCTACCAGTCTTCTCTAAGTGGTTCCCGATCCCGCTTTGCTGCTAGCGAACAGCAACATCACTGTGAGCACAGGCAGCTGGCGAGCCACAGCAGAAGAAGCCACTCCCTTGTTAGGCATCAGATCACCAGCCCAGTGCCATTCCTCAGTACAGCCTTGGGCTGAAAACCTTGAAATGAAAGCCCTTTCCTTCCTTTCCAAGCTCAAATTGCTTTGTGAACAATAATGTTTCCAGTTATTCCTTCTTTGGGCTTCTTGCAACACAGAAAAAAATGTCTATTGCCAAGCAAATCCTTCACCACAACAGGGCTAGATGGAAATTAAAATGGAATTTTAAATGTGGTGCATGTTTGTACAGCACCTTTTCAGTACCTAGGTGTTGTTTTTTTCTAAAAAAAAAACCAAAAAAACCAACCAAACAAACAAAAAGCGCTACTGAAGTAAATTGGTATATGTGTAAATTCAGTCCCAAGTGCAGAAACTGAAGGTACTCTTTCAATCTGCCTCCGGAGCGTAAGCCTAGAAATAGTCTTTCAACACAGCTTGATGCTGTTTGCTCCCAGTAAGCCAGCGCAATGCGAGTGCAATCGTCCGCTTTACCTTGCTCATGCTTTCCATGCCTCCCGCAACCACGATGCTGGAATCTCCCGTCAGTATGGACTGCGCAGCCAGACACACCGCTTTCAAGCCCGACCCACAGATCATCTGGCAGCTCCAGGCGGGCACCGAGTAAGGGATTCCTGCAGCAACACTCGCCTGCCGGACAGGGTTCTGGCCAGCACCTGCAGGAACAGGCAGCATTTTTCCTTAGTCTGTTCTTAAGAAATCAATGTCGGCCTTGTCAGTTTTCACAACAGGTACCCCGATTCCACCAAAATTTAGAGCTCGCTCCTTTTTTTAGTTGGTAGATGGAGAAGTTCCCAGCAGTAATCTGCAAACAGGAGCTTATCTACCTCTCTCATTTATATTGTTGATCAATGAAATATCTGCAAGATCAGGGACTTGCTACTGACAGTTTTAGATCTGCAGCTCTGCTTTTGATGGCAGGTCAGATGAAACACCAACTTCCAATTAGCACTAGCCTGTTGTACATATGTAAGATTTAAATTTTACACATTTAACTTGCTACTTGCTGAAGGGTCTCCTTTTGACATCTCCTGTACATCATGAATGGACAAGTTTTCCTAAAAGTTCCTGCGGAAACCAAAAGTGCAATTATGCAAGGACAGTCCGAACGCTTCCATTCTTTGTTGTAATCCTGGTGGAGAGAGTAGGAGCTCTATATTCAAAGAAAACATTCTTCATCTGCATCTTTCCAGGCCAAAGTAATGCCAGCTCTTTGTATGCAAAGAAATGGACAAGGAGAGCACATTGTTCAGGGAGCTAAAAATATACAGGAATCTGGATCATCATTAAGTAAGACAAAAATATTTATTTGCTTTATTTTCTTCCTCTGTCTTTAAAATACAAACCTGCCCCATGACTCTGCTGATTAAACATTACCCTGGAAAAAGCAGGGGACCTGTTCAAAAACAAACAATTCTCTATCAACCAGCCGCATTTTCATTAAATCAAAATATTTGTCTCCGAGCAAGTGGCATCACAGATCTTGCAGGTTGGTCTCACAGATAAGCGCAAATGCAGGCCTCGCTCTGAAAAAGTCTCAAGATTTATCATTACTTATGGTGTTAAATTTACAAGAGGAGGTGACCAAGGCAAGAGAAGGGATGCTGGAACAAAGGAAAGAAAGACTTTCACGCGTACACTGTGGGCTGCTTTGGGGATTTATAAAAACCCCAAAAACCAAAACCCTAAACTAGCCTCCTTCCCCAAAACCAGGCAACGGGTTTGGGCACCCAGAGTGGCGGCCAGGACACCGCTCGAGCCCCGCACCACACTCTTCACGGCACGGAACACCCTTCCGAAACGCGTAACCGGGGCCGTCCCGGTGGGGCAGCCCCGGAGGGACGAAGCCCGCCGGGAGGAAGAGCCATCCCGGCTCCCCATGGCCGCG